GTCTAAGGATACACCCCATGTGGGTTGGATTTGTCAGGGCCCTGAGGGCACTACTAGGTTTTGCTGGCCCTGACTGAGCTCCCCACACCCTGCCTGCAGCCCAGGACCCCACTGCAGCCTCCCAGGGCCATCAGCTCCTGCCCCAGGGAGGCTGCAGAGAGGCTCTGCACAGCCCTGCCCTTCCTGGCCACAGCCCTGACAAGCCAGCCCACCTGCAGTCCTACATCCCAGCCTGGCTTTGGATGGAGGTGCCCAGTTCTGAGGGCTGGGGCTGTATCTGGCATGTGCTGTTCCCTAGCTTGCCCTGCCACCCTGGGAGAGCCCCCTGCTACTGGGCCCAACCCTTGGGCACCTTGACAGCTTTCTTTTTTTCTCCCCTTTCCTTATTAACTTTTCTCTAAGCAATTAACTTTTCTCTAAACAATTATTATTCCAACTTAGCGAAGCTGCATTTTTCACTGGAGACTTTCTATTTGCCATTTGGCAATGAAACCATTATGGAATAAATGACTGTGGTGATAACATTCTTTTGTAAAGCATTTGGTTTTCACCCTTCTTTCATACATGTTTCAGCAATGGAGCTACAGTTTAGGGGTGTGTCTAAATAAACATTAGCCTTATTTCAGAAACTATAAACCCCAGAAAGTAGATATTTATAAAATGAAAAGATGTAGTGTTACTTCAGAAATACTAAGAAAGGTTAAAGAGAGAGAATCTGATTTTGACTGTACTTTTAAGCCATGGAAGCACTGCATAAGATGAGAGTGACACCACATTACTCATTCTGTCATTGACAGCGATATCTGTTTTCAGTGGGTAACAATAGTGCAGGACCGCTAATGTCAAGGGTTTCTCACCATGTTTTCAGTGTTGGCACTGAGATTTATATCAGATCTGAATGGAGTCTAGTAACTGTGATGCAGCTCAAGAAGTCACAGTAACCATTTTTCAGTGTCCAAAAAGATTATTCTGTCACAGCTCAGTGGACCAAAGCTATGTGACCTGCTGGGCTAGAAGCAAGCTCTAGCCTTGTTCAAAACCTCTCAGGTATGGCATGGATATCAGTAATCATGTGCTTCGAGCAGCGACTGTTGGTGTGGTGTAACGTGACGTTTTCTTGCTGCTTGTCAGTCTGGAAAGGCAGCACAAAGAGTCACAGAATAATTCAAGTTGACTATCTCTAGGTCCTCAAAGGTGCCCAAGGACTAAGGGAAACACTAGGGGTACGAACGTTGCTGGGATTTATGTTGTTTGGACCTGTGACTTCAATGCTCACTTTGGACTGTTTGCTTTGATAGCTTGCTAGTATTTGAGTTGCAACAAGGCACTAGGAAATTATTCATGCTGAATCACTGGTCTACATCTGCTTATATGACCTTTGTGGACTGCTGTAGTCCTGCAGTACATCTGTCTGGGAAGCAGTCCTCTTCCTGTGCAGTTTGCTATCCATCTCATCAGACTGGCTGAGAAGTCTTTCAAGGTACCTTTTTAAAGTGTTCCTACATACTGCCGACATTTTTTGTCATTCTGAGTTGAGTCCCATTCATAATTTCTCTTCCAGTGCATGTTTCATATATAAAAATAAATATTACATGGTATTACATGGTATATATTACTCTGCTTAGGACCCTTTTCCAGAATTCTTTTCCTTGTGCCTGATGCATATTGGAATTGACTTTAAAGGTAATTTATCTTTATGACTCAGAGGCATAACTTTTTTTAATTGCTGGTTATATCAGATACAGTTGACCTGATAACAACAGATGCTGCAACTACATCAGCAATGCATCTGTGTGGGAACCGATGAAAGCAATGCAGTGTTCATAGAAATGAAACTACTGGCCTTCTAAACTTTTATACCACAGCAGTGAAAGTATGAGAGTATGTGGTGCCAGGGTCGTGTGCATCATCAGTATCCCCAGTAGGTGTGCGTTTCTGTTGTCTTAACAGGCAATAAAACTAGACAGAGTGATTGGGCATTAACTGACTGTTCTTTCTGCATTTTTTAGAAGGTGATTGTATGCTTTCTCTCACTTTTCCTGAAATATTAAAATATATACTTAATGCAGATAGAGGAACTGTGTTCTTGTGTGTGTGTGTGTTATGATGAAGCAAGACAGGAGTGAGAGTAAATGAATTGGTAATGGTTATGAAGTTTGTAGATTTATTTTTTTTTTAATTTAGTTCTGGGGTCCAGAAAGGGACTTGGTTTTCAGTGTCCTGGCTGACAACAGATAAAAGCATTCCAGAGTCTTTGGAATGAGAGCAGAAAGTGGCTTTTGGAACAGAAACTGACAGCTGACAGCATACGAAAACATCTTGTTTTCAGATTATGTAATAATCTTCTTCTGTATTATAAATACGCAGGTTTTATATTTGCCTGTACACATGTGCATGCAGTTGCTGAAGTAATGAGCACTGTGCATAGATTTCTGAATGTGGGAGTTGGGCCCCTATTAAAATGTTTCTCTAACACTATACAGCTTTGGGAGGATTCTTCTGGCTGATGGTCCTTTTGGGGTGTACATAAATGGAGTAATACTGAGAAAATTATTGTTCCTGTATTCTTTGGATGCATAAGCCTTACAGCAAAGAGTCCCTGAAGATTGTACTCTCTATAGATGGAATAAAAAATGCTCCTACTTCTGTAGGAGGGATATTGGAATATTTATCAGGTTGGTGTGTGTGTCAGGGAAGGGCTTTCTATCCTAATTGCCTTCCACTAATCTGACTTTCAAATGCTCTTCCTTTGGATTTTTATCTACACGTTTTCTTCTCCCTTATGCTGACTGTGAAAGGTCCCTTGTTTCCAGGGTGAGCTAATACTGCTCCTAAATCAGTCAGTTTATATAGAGGAATAAGACTTCAGAGAAACAGAGTGGTAGTATGTTTCATTCTTTTGAGAATAAGGGAGGAGCAATTACAGGGGGAAGAATTAGGATTCTGAAAGAAAAACTTGGGAAAAAAATACGCCTTGCTGAAAGCTAAAACTCTGTTGATGGGATTACTCCCAGAAAGGCAAAAGAGAATGCAGAAGACAAACACTGAGTTCAGTATCTGAAATGGAAGAATGGGAGAAGGGTTTGGCAAGGGGTCAGGGAGATGTTGACTTGGTGGAGAGAAGGTATGTAGAAGTGGCTGTAACCTGGGTAGTGCCATTGAGTGAGCAGGGTGAAGGCAAACAGAGTTAGTCTGAACCAGGAAACTTTGTCCTGAAGGATTTTTGCTTGCAGAGGTATTAACAAGAATCGCACAAAACTTGTGTGAGGAAATCAAATAGCATGGGCTAGGAAGAAGGTATTTCACATTAGAGCAATGTAAGGAATAGGCATGAAGAATTTAGGGTGACTCTGCGGCTAGTGGGATGATTTGGTAGTAAGTGCATAAACACGATCAGCTGATATGTCTGACTGTTGCTTTACCAGCACCAGGGAATTATTCCTTAAAAGATGGTGAAAGAGAGAAACAAGACTAACTCAGGGGACGTATGGTCAGGCAGGGAGTATGTGTAGAAAATTACAAGAACTGTTTAAATTATAAGGGAGGATTAACCCATGCATCTTGCCTGAGTTGGATTCACTGGGTATTTTATTAGGCTAGCTCCTATTTCTAGCAGAGACCTGGATGTCTTATGTAAAAGCAGTTATCCATTAACAGAAGTGAAAACTGTGCTCTTAAAGTGAGGAGCTTGTGCCTTCTCTGTAGGAAAGTGACCTGGATGAGTGGAAAGTGAATAGGGTTAATATCCCTTCTATGGTGAAACTCTGTCCAGAATGTTCCTCTGCTCCAGCAGAAAACCCTTACAATGGCACTTACTGGTTGGGTGATCATCAGGGAGTAGCTTACCTGAGGATGCGGGAGAGACAACAGAAAGAAATGGAAACAGAGCACGAGCAGGGAAGAGGATGGGCACGTGGGATGCTGTGTGAAATCAGAGGACCCGGGGGTTATGTGGATCTGGTAGGGTACTCTGTGTGTGGAAGGGAATTAGACTACAGCTCATTAATTTTTTACCTTTTGTTTCTCTGCCTGCCCACTCTTCACTACACCAAATGTCTAAGTGCCCAAACGATACGCATTACCTTCTCAGTTGAATAATGGATACATAAACTGCCCTACAGGTGCAGCTGCAGAGCAAACCCTGTTTTTACAGAATCACTCCCTGTGTAACCCTGCGTTTACCTTGTTTTCCCAAGTGGAATTAATCCTGTTGCAGCTTTCTCAGGATATTGCTATTCATCCCACTAACCCCCAATGTCCTGCTGTAGGAGGATCCCATCAGCTGCAGAAGGCCCTTTTTTTCCTGAAAATAAGATATTTCATGTGCTTCTAAGACAACAGATTTCGGTTGATTCCATTGCACTTGTAACTTCTTGTCTATCTTATCATGCTTATTTCTTTTAATGTCAGTATCCATTCAGACTTCCTAAACACAAAATTGATTGAGGCTGTAGCTAACCATGGCCCAGATGTTGATTTCATCATAGTTGGGTGGAGGGACAAAAGGTCCATGCATGGAATTTTGTTGCGGTAAAAAGTGTGTTCTGGGGGTTTCTGTACTGCTGCTTTTATTTCTCTTAAGTATCTGGCTTGGATCCAAGATTTGGGATTAAGCATCTCTGTTGATCTGGTGTGGAGTGACAGTGCTCATAGTCCCCAAAGAAATGATTTGCCTTTGCTGCCTTGCTGAGAGGGAGATGTTAACCTCTTTCAGATGGTTATTCAAAAGTGCTGAGATTCTGTGAATAGACAAACAGTAACAGTTTAAGGGAGATTATAAAAGTGGATGTGCTATGTGGCTTCAGGAAGCTAATGTGCCTAGATATTAAAGGCTTGATGTTTCTGATGTATTATTCTCTGCTGCTTTCATACTAGGAATACAGCCCAGCAACAGTCTCTTTTGCAAGAGAACGCATAGGAGCTCTGCTTCATATTCATTGGGTTTTCTTCCTGTGTTGCCATGTCTGTTTGATATGTCTGTGGGTTTTTTTTAATTACAGGGTCACCGGATGAAACGGCAGATTGGTGTCTGGGGGAGCTGGGGTGAATGGGGCAAGTGCAGTCGGAGCTGTGGCGGTGGAGTCAGCTTTCGGCAGCGGCGCTGCTATTCCCAAAGGTGACGGCTAAACCTCCTTTTTCTTTAAACGTGTTTTTCTGTTACTGAGCTCCTGCACTTACGTTCCAATATACATCCAGAACAAAAATGACAGGTTTTGATTCTAGAGGGATAAGTCACCTGAGCCCACTTTGAGATGATCCTCAGCTTGAGTCTTGTCACTGCTGTTTTGAATATTGCTCTCTTCAAAACATCCCTGCTTTGGCTCCTTCACTAGACCACAGTGGTTTCTCTGTGAGATCTGAGGCTGTGCAGTCAGGCAATTGGTGCGGCAGCAGCTGTTCAGTTGGGTCTAGTGTGGCAAGCCTGGGGGAGAGGGAGAACAGTCCAAAGCAGTAGCTTTCTCTCCCAAGAGCTGGTGACTCTGCCAAGATTTTCTCAGGCTTATGATTCCCAGGGAGGTAAATTGCCCCAGAAGAAATGAAAGAGTTGTGAGTTGACTCAAGTAGCGTTAACGCTGTGGCATCTCATTTGCAGCTGAGTTAGATGCAGTGAGGATGATGACTGGGACTGCACCTGTTGAGAATGATGGATCTTGGAGATCCTGTTGTGGATGAACACAAAGAAAAGGAAAAATAATTAAAATCCAGACTCTTAATAATATCTTGGAAGAAACCAGACTCTATGTTTAGAGAAATGAGAGGAAGCTTTTTAAATAGAAGAATCCAGAGTTATAGAGCACTGCTGCTTCCCACCCAGAGTAAAGAAGGGTCTCTTTTGAGCCCATTATGGTATACACCTGCCAGAATCCCTGAAGGCTCGTATCTCTGTTTTAGGAAGACATTGTTTGGCTTTACAGATCAATTTCCTTCATAACTGTTACTCTCCATAATTTTCAGTTGGAGTCATTTGCCTGAAATGAGGGTCTTCCATAGGCACGTTTAGCTCTTGCTATTAATGGGTCTAGTGTGCACATAAACAGCATGATAGATATGCTGCTCGTAACACGCTTACGGTTCAGGTATGGACACCTCGGCTATTTGCTAGTGGACAGAGGACTAAAAGCTCTACTTCTGTTATTTACTTTAAACATGGCCCTGCAGAGCTATGTTGCAGTCACTCATGGTGTGTGTCTCATCCATGCCAGAATGCAAACCATGTCAGAAAGTAGCACAGGGAGATGCCAGTTCGCTTTAGTGGAAAAGGGCTTTTTCAGGAAACTGTGTGAGGGTGATTTGCTCAATGTGAAGGTGATTTGTAATGTCTGCCATGAGGCAATTTTTTTGTGTGTTTATTCTTCAGAGAACTTCATGTTGTTTTTCTGGTTTTCAGGACAGAAGGTGCTTCCAGTTGTGTTGGACCAACTCGAAGCTATCGGTCATGCAATGTTCAGGTACAATGCCATTTTTTGCTTTTGCTTGCCTGTTGCTCCTTTTCCCCAGACAGACATCATTCTTATTCAGAAATAATGTCATCATTAGTTTCTATTTCTCTGGCATCACTGATGAATGTGGTTCATCAATAGTACCCCTTCAAAAACATGTGAAATTTATGCCCCTGATCTTTATATGAGCAATAACAAATAAAAACCAATTTGTTGTTGTGCACTTAATTTTCCTCCTTTTATAATGGCCCAAACCAAATATTTTCTCCTCTAAACAGAGTTGCCCGGAAGGCTCCCGGGATTTCCGGGCAGAGCAATGTGCAGAGTTTGATGGGACAGAATTCCAAGGAAAGAAATACAAGTGGCTTCCGTATTATGGAGGTAATGACAAATTGGGTGGGAGTGTTGATGTGCTCGAGGGCAGGGAGGCTCTGCAGAGAGACCTGGACAGGCTGGAGCCATGGGCTGAGGCCAACTGGAGGAGTTTCCATAAGGCCAAATGCCGGGGGCTGCCCTTGGGCCACAACAACCCCCAGCAGCGCTACAGGCTTGGGGAGGAGTGGCTGGAGAGCTGCCAGTCACAGAGGGACCTGGGGGTGTGATTGACAGCCCGATGAACAGGAGGCAGCAGTGTGCCCAGGTGGCCAAGAAGGCCAATGGCATCCTGGCTTGTGTCAGCAATAGCGTGGCCAGCAGGGACAGGGAAGGGATCTGACCCCTGTACTCGGCACTGGTGAGGCCGCCCCTCGATTCCTGTGTTCAGTTTTGGGCCCCTCCCTACAAAAAGGACATTGAATGACTCGAGCGTGTCCAGAGAAGGGCAACGGAGCTGGTGCAGGGTCTGGAGCACAGGTCGTACGGGGAGCGGCTGAGGGAACTGGGGGGTTTAGTCTGGAGAAGAGGAGGCTGAGGGGAGACCTCATCGCCCTCTACAGCTCCCTGAAAGGAGGGTGCAGAGAGCTGGGGATGGGTCTCTTTAACCAAGTAATAAGTGATAGGACAAGAGGGAATGGCCTCAAGTTGCACCAGGGAAGGTTTAGACTGGATATCAGGAAGCATTTCTTTCCAGAATGGGTTGTTGGGCGTTGGAATGGGCTGCCCAGGGAGGTGGTGGAGTCCCCATCCCTGGCGGGGTTTCAGTTGGGTTAATGTAGCACTGAGGGATCTGGTGTAGTTGGGAACTGTTGGTGCTAGGTTAACACTTGGAGTAGATGATCCTCAAGGTCTTTTTCAACCTAGACGATTCTGTGATTAACATGTAGGGTTACACTTCGCCCCTAACAGTGTGATTTGAAGTGACTGTAATGTTTTTGACTCTAGTATCCTCTTGGGGTACCCACTTAGCTGGAGTAGGAGGGGGACAGAGGGTGACATGGAAAAAATCTTTTTGCTAGAAGGAAAGCATTGCTTTCATGAAGATAATGGATGCATGGTCCAAGAGGTAGCAATACATAGTTATCCCTTGTAACAGCCATTATTTCAGAAACATTGCTTAAGAAAGGCTGGAACTGGTTGCAGCTAGATGCTTAAGTATTAAAGATGCAGAAGCTCTTGCTGTATTTTTCAATATTGGCAAAAGAATTTTAGCAGGGCACAGGAGAAACAAATACATATAATTAGTGAGTTCTTCACCTGGCACAACATTCCCACCACCAGCACTGGCCAGCGAAGGTTCCATGGTTCCATACAGTGAGGCTTTATCAGGGTATTCTCCCAGATTCCAGCAGTTTGTGACCCAGAAATTTGTTCAATATCTGCCATTTAATATCAGTTCACTCCTCTGTTTCTGCTCCTGTGATCTAAAGCCAGGTTCCTGATGCATTATCAAGCTATTAGCCATACTATATAATGTTTTTTCTCTCCTACCAGCTCCTAATAAGTGTGAGTTAAACTGTATTCCCAAGGGAGAAAATTTCTACTACAGGCACAAGGAAGCAGTGGTAGATGGGACTACCTGTGAACCTGGCAAGCGAGACATCTGTGTAGAGGGAGTTTGTCAGGTTAGTCATCTTGCTGCTTCCTTCGTTTACCACTGGGCCTGTCAGTCTTTCTGTTGCTTCCCTTTGTTCTGTTTGGCTATCTTTTATTAATAGCATCAGAAAAGGAGAATCATTCCATTTCCAAGGTGTTAAGGAGAATGTGGACAGCATTTATCTACCTCTGAATGTGAAATAGAAGATGCCAACCCTGTCCTTTCTCTGACAACTCCTTCCTTGCCCTATCCTGCTTCCCAGGCTCCCTAGATTCAGGCTTTCTAATTAGATCAGTCCTGCATTTGGTCATTTTTTCTTTCTTTCCTCTGTCATTATGGTTTATTCATATCAATGCTCCTGTGCTCTGACAGGCCGTTGGCTGTGATAACATGCTGGAATCTGCCAAGAAGGAGGACAAGTGCCTGAAGTGTGGAGGAGATGGCAGCACCTGCTATGGTGTGAAGGGTACTTTTGATGTGCCCAGCCTCCCCAAAGGTACAGATGATCTAGGTAGTTTGGACAGATGAGGAGGAGAGAGTTGCACCTAAAGTCAAGCTGCTACAAGGGCTGGTGGGGGCACCTGCTCACGTGATCACTGTAGGAAGGCTTGGATGTTCAGCAGAAATGTCTGTATGGCATGTGGCTCTTTAGCATCTTTATCATCAAAAAATGTGTTGATGGCTTTATCCTGGGGATCACTTCCCTAGTCTCTGTACAGACTGAAGGACTTGCCATGCTCAGTCTCCAGCAGGTGCTATAAATGTACCATATGAACATAGCTATATACCTCCCTTTCCAGCATCCTGATAACCTCACCAGGATTAGTGCAAGGCTGCAAATGGGATTACAGCTTCTGCATTTAGCCAATTTTGAAAAATTTCAAGATAAAAACTACTCTTGCAGTCAAATCCCTCTGTGTTGATCTCCAATATGATCCTTACTGAAATTCTAAAAATTTAAAAATCTAAAAAATGGACTTTGAAATGACCCCTGTGCTTACTTTTCTGAGGTGTAATTGGAAGTTTTTACGCATGGACTGACCTGTGGATAGCGTAGGGTGAAGCTGTTCAGAATGCAGATAGAGTGACAGCTGAAATACTTCAAGCCGCCATCATAAAGCTCATCCGGTTGTTCAGGCACCAATGAAACCATGAACATCTTTGGCACAGAAGAGTGACTGTGTGGCATCCACAAACAGATACTGAATAATCCCCCCCCCCCCCCCAATCAAATCTTCATCATTCCCGTGGGAGCCACAAGCATTCAAATTAAGGAAGTTATGCCCAGCAGGAACTTCCTGGGTAAGACTGGGTCAGAACCTGTTTTTCAATCCATGTGGATTCCAGCCATTGCATTAAAATTTGGTTTTCAGGTATGCTGGGCTTTGGAATGTTTACCTTGAGGCCTTTGTATGGCAGAGGGAAAAACTCTCTGAAAATCAGGCTCTGATTTTCATTGAGTATCCTTGCAGTGTTAGTGATGCTCAACTCTGGGCTTCAGGTTTATCTCATTTTCTGTCCTGTGGTGATCTCGTTCTTGGATGGGGAATAAAAGTTCCCATGCCACATTCAGACTCTGGGCCTGGAACTTACAAGTAGTCTAGTTGATAGAGCAAAATTTGGCTATGAGTTCTGCTGTTTGTTTGGTGAATGTAAATCCTAACTACTCTTGCCATGGAAAAGTTTGGGATGGGCCTCTTTTCCTGAGATTATCTTTTGGGTATTTCTCTGTACCACCTCAAATTCTGGTCATGCTGTAGAGGGCAAAAAGAAGGGAGAAATGTCCTCACCTAGATTTCTGGGCAGGGCTGAGGAAATTCCAGTGGAGAAGGCACTGCTTTCTGACACTTCTATCACACAGTACTTTAAACAAATCTGTCAGGTGATGTTTTGTTTTGTAGAAAACTGGATGCAGCACCAAAGTTCTTGTTTTCTGCAGAGAATGTCTGATGAACAGGACAGTAGTGTAGAGGCAGTGGAGGGTGAATCCCACATCTTAACAGCAAGTGGGACAAAGTCTGACTTAGGCTGTGCCTCAGTGAGTACCTGTGGAGAATGCAGAGACAAGGCTGGAATATGCTGGAAGGCATTCAGCTGTGCAGCAAAGAAGCACTTGGTCTGCAGCAAAGCTGGCAAGAACCACTGTCTGAATGTGGAGCAGCTTCTGGCACGAGTGCCTCATGGGGAGACAGCGTTGTTGGACAGTGATGGTCGCCTTTATTTGCCACACCTGTGACACAGTGTTGAGTGGAAACAGAAGCATCCCTGTGGAGTTCTTACGGTCCTCTTTTGATGTGTGAATTTTTGATGTGTTGGAAGATGCTGCCATATTAGATGGTTGCCACACTTAAAGGGTTGTGGTAATGATGTAAAGGAGCTGGGGTTCAAACGGCAGAGCTGAGAGCTCGGTGGATTGCCAGTACCCTGAAAGTCTAGAGCAGGCGCTGTCTTGTGGTATCTGGAGCCGATTGTCAGGTTATAGGTATGTTAACTTACTGTCTTTTCTTCTCTGGCATCTGGTTTGTCCAGCTGTCAAGAACGTGCGAGGGGAATATTACCTGAATGGGCACTGGACAATCGACTTCAGCCGGGCGCTGCAGGTAGCTAGCACGGTTATGCACTATGACCGTGGCTCGGAGGGTGATCTGGCCCCAGAGCTCCTCCATGCCCAGGGTCCCACCACAGAACCCCTCGTCATTGAGGTAAGCAGCTGTGCCTGATACCCCTGCTCCCTTGCTTTGCATAGCAGCCCCCGCTTTGTGCCACGGGAGTGTGTTGGTGGGGACCACAAGGGAAAGACTGGAAAAGTGGCAGGGCCCCCAGGCTAGACTAAGGTGCCCTTCCAGAAAATGAAAGTAGCACTACATTTTGCCGTGGTTCTGTTGCCCAGAAAGGAGCAGGGCAAGGCTTGATGCCTATTCCCTTGGGCTCTGACTTTGAGGTGGGGGGGACTCAGCACCAAGTGGTGCCGGGGCAGAGATGGGCTCCTGTTACAGTGTGCTGTAGGCCAGGAAAGGTACTTACTGTTACAGGAGCACCTGGATCTGCTGATGCTGAGGAGAATGAATGCACCCTTCTCCGAAAGCTAATGCTCTCTAGAGTGTTGTAGAAGGCAAGGAGAAAATACACCATAGAGTACATACAGCATAGAGAATAGGTGCTCCTCGAACAGCAAAGGCACAAGTCAGCTCGAACCCTCAAACGTGGTGGGAAAATGCTGTGAAGGGGAAAAGTGCTGCTGCTGTGATTTCCCTGACTTTCTCCCATGCTTTCACAGCTCATCAGCCAGGAGCCAAACCCCGGGGTACAGTACGAGTACTACCTGCCCGTGCAGGGCCAGGCCTCGGGGTACAGCTGGAGCTATGGCTCCTGGAGTGAGTGCAGCTCCGAGTGCGGAGGAGGTAAGGGAGCAGGACCTGGCCTGTGGCCGCTGGTGTGGGGTTTATAGCCGCACCCTCAAGACTGTGTGACTGCGTGCTGCCCTCTGCAGCTGCTTCCCAGCAGTCTCTGGATGGAAGACAGAACAGGTATCTGCAAGGTGCACCTAAGGTTTTGTCAAGGGAGAGGCACAGATGGAGTCACAAAAGGTCTGTGCCCTGTGCCTTGTCCTGTCTTATTTTCCATGCCCTAGTCCTCAGACTTGTTAGTAGGATCTGTTAAGAATCTTCATAGATAGCCATTGTTTTGTTTTGCCTCTGTTCTTTATGGCCTTTTCAGGCGTCTTCAACCACTTCAGAGGTCCTCTTCAAACTGACGTGGCCTACATAACTGAATCTCATCATTCCCCTCTACCATAGCCTGAAAGATTCCCTCTTTCCAGGGGGACTGTTAGGTCTCCTGGGGTGTCATGTTCAGTTTACAGATTCTTCCATGAGCAAAGTTATGGAATTTAAGCTTAAAAAACCAAAACAACACACTCCAATCAAACAAATAAACTCTCCAGCTGACTGGTATATAGAGTTCCTCTCAGCCTCTTCTGGTGGCCTGTGCTGATGGCCTCTTTGATAGCTTTTGCTGTTGTGGTTGTAGGTGCTGATACTGCCTTTGCCTGGGCACTCTTATCCTGTGGGAAGCATAAAGAGTTGCAAGTTTTCCTCCTGCAGCCAGTCTTCACAAGACTGACCTTCTGAGTCTAACAGGAGGCACCCAGCTCTGCTGCTGTGTACCGCACGCATCGTGCAACATTCCTTGATGAATGATATATAGATATGGCACTTCCTTTGCGACTGTCAATCCATAAAATAATAGGAAAATGCCCCTCAACTACACAGAAATGTTCTGCCTCTCTTGCCCTTCCAGTGGACTCCTATACTGTGAGGAGGCATCACTTGTATGTTGAGTGACAGACCAAGAACAGCATCTGACTTTTTTCCAGGTTGGCTGGGACAGGTGTGGACTCTGCACTAATTTAGAAACTTGTCTTGTCACCACTAGCACATTGCAAACCTAGTCCTGGGTGGTTTGTATTGATCAGGATACTCTCTTGCTTCTCCTTTAGGTTTCCAAACCCGCTTGGTGTTTTGTACCATAGACAATGAAATTTATCCAGACTATATGTGCAGGAATAAACCACAGCCAGACAATAACCGGACATGTGGCCATCAAACTTGTCCTCAGACAAAACGGTAAGATTTCCTTCCTCCTTCTGGACTCTGACATCTTTCTGAGGTGCTTTTGGAACTAAGAAAAGAAATGACCCTCTCACTTCTCCTGCCCTCCAGCAAGTTTCCCTCCAGGGAAGTATTTAACTTCTTAGAGAAAGCCCAAGACAAGGAAAGGGCTTAATACATCCTATGTTTATTTTATAAACCAATTAAATTCACTTTCCAGAGTATGATTGTGGAGTCTTCTAGCCCATCTAGGAGATAGGAAACAGATTCTCTGGGTTTTGTTCTCTCAACTGGAGCCTGCAAAAACAGCGTAGGAGGTCAGAGCTGGTGTAATTTTATGTCATTTCTGCATTCCCAGTGTCCTTGCTCTTATAAAGGGATGACTCCTGGAATCTTTTCATTCTCCGTCATTTTCAAACCCCTTTACCCAGCGATTTCCACTTTGTCCCTTACTGGCATAGACTTACAGTTGGCTTCACTTGGCTCTTACATAGGCATCTAGAGCTGTAACCAGAGCCTTAACTGTGTGTCTCGCTGTGTGACTGAGTGCAGTGGAGGCCTGTGAGGGTGCTTTTGGGGGTGAGGGGGCACTTGGAAACCTGGAAGCATTTCTGAATACACGGTAGCCTGTAGCTACTTGTTTTAAGTTCCTTAAATCCTTTGTTCTGTGTATAAAGGACTTCCTACATCTATCTGCCGCAAACCTGGAGTCACAGTGGAGCACGAAGCTCTCAGATGAAGAGGTAACAAGGAAAAGGAGGTTACAGAAAGCGCAGGACGATGGCTGCTTTCCTCTGCTCTTCACCTTATTACCCACTGAAGTCTGTGGGGGCTTTGCTCTTTGGAACTGGTGGTAGCAGTGGGTGGTGCTTTGCTTTTGATTCCTGTCGATGAAAATGATGGTGGAGGGTACAGCTTTGCTTAGGTGGTTGTGCGTGCCCCTGGTGACTTGATTCTTATGGGACTGAGAAGGGGACAGTTTCTTCATAGATTTTTCTGCTTATCCTGATAACTGTTGCTTTTTCTCTGGAATCAGGGTGAAGAGGTGAAGAGATGTTCTGGAAGATTTTTTTTTTTTTTATTTCTCAAGATAGATAAAAGAACAGGAAGGAGAAGAGAGCATGATGGATTGGGCAATTGAAACATTGGCCAGGATGCCAGCGTGTCATAGCAAAAGCCTCTTCTTAAAAGTGCTTCTTTCTTTGGCATGGGCCTTATAGCAGGCAGAAAAGTGCCTATAAACTGTGATGAGTGCAAGGATGTGACATATATGATACTTATAATGTACACTGAGATATGAGAAATAAAAAAGATCAAAAGCAAAAGAGTTGTTCCTCAGCAAGCTGCTAATAGCTTAGGACTTGCAATTTTTTGCCCTCTGATGAGGGATCCTCGTATGTGTCTTGTGGTTGACCTCGTCTTACAGAGGAAATGAAACAAGTGTCAGAGAAGATGTCTTGACTAGCAATTGAAGGAAGCTGTAGGTGAGCCCATCCTGTTGATACAGCCCTTCTAAAACTGTACATTTGCTTTACAGGAGGCAGAATATAGTTTGGGGAGGGGTTATCCCCACTGGAGCTCCCAAAAAATCTTGATCAATGAATTTTTTTTGAGCCCTGCAACCACACCACTCTTAAGTGGCTTCTATTTGCTGTAGTTGTTCCCTTTGAAAAGGGAACATCTTATTTTATAGCAAAGGCCATTCTGTTTCAGACTGATACTTGCACCTTTAGCAATAAAGAAGGGTATCTTAAGACGATGAACGTGACTGAGTCTGCTGTGGAGTTTCTAGTAGGGCATGAGTGTGAATTGGCTGGCTGAAACTCAGTGTAGGTGTCATGAGGGCAGACCAGGGAAGCAGCTGGAAGAGTAGGGGAGAAAACATGAACTGCCTTTACTCCCTGGCTGGGGCTTACCTGGCTGCAAGTGGAGGCAGCAGCTGACAAGCACATCACTGTGCTGCTCCCCCTCCACCACCAGTGCCTTTTGACTGTGCAGCACACTGGAGTCGGGAATGAAATGTCATGTTGTCTCTGAGGCCAAGCTGTGTAAGCTGTGGGTCCAGCTACCTGAGCAGCTCTGAGATGCAGGAACAGACAAGGGCCAGGATTTTAGCATCCAAACAGTCAGATCATTTTGTGGTCATTCCCCCTTCTTTCTGTAACAGCTTCAGCAACCAAACCCAGGACAAAATCTGTTTAAAGTTTCTGAGGCTTTTTTGTGTGTGCTGCTGTTAGAGAATTTGGCCAATGGGAGGAATAAACCAGCTTTCTACCGGCTGTCAGTGAAAAGTTCACAAACATTTCTGAGAGTGTCTGGCATGGTTTGCAGGCAGAGTGAGGTCTTGGCTTGGTTTTACTGTTTCTGATAATGGCTGGAGTGGAATGGGTGGTTAGGCTGGTCTGGATTGCTTTTCTTTTAGATGATCTGGCTTGTTTTCTTTGTTTGTTTTTGTTTGTTTGTTTGTTTTGTTTTTTTTCCTTTTTTTTTTTTTCTTTGATGTTCCATTCCAGACATGACATTTTTGCAGACACCAGGAGACCAAAAGCCATCAGGAGACCAAAACCTTTCCCTTCTGGGAGAGCTCTGCACTTCCAGAGAAACAAGTGTTTTGTAGCTGGGGATTTGTCTCTGGAGTGGGACTCATGCTCTGCATTGCCAATTGAGCTGGGCAGTGCTTGGTCAAATGGGAACTTGCCTCTGACTCTCCTCTGCAAAGGGATGTTTTCCTTGTCTGGTTACAACAGGGGCATGGCACTGACCTCCCCTGTGCCTCTGGGTGGTTTAGCTGGGCTTACATTTGTTTCCTTGATTCTGTGACCTGCAGGTGGAAAACAGGGGAGTGGGGATCCTGCTCAGCTACCTGTGGTGGGGGCACCCAGACTCGCTCCGTTTACTGCGTGGCATTTGACGGTCAGAGCTCGCAAGGGGTGGTGGATAACACTGAGTGCATGGCCTTCGCGCAGCAGCCTCGCAGCAGTCAGCCCTGCAACATGAGACAGTGTGCCACCTGGAGCACGGGGCCCTGGTCCGAGGTGAGTTTGTGCACGGGAAGTAACTGCCTCTTGGCACCTACTGAAGGAGGATCTGCCAAAGCTTGGGGATAAAGAGCCAGGCTCCTTTTCTGGGACTGTAAAAAGTGTCTGTTCTTGGATAGGTGTTGTGCAGATGTGAAGGACTTGTCCCTGTAGCCCTCCAAACAAGTTCTCCACCTACCTAGCATCTATGCCTTCCTATAAACACATCCTTGTTCCTCAAAACTCTGCATGCCTCTGCACCTCTGCTGCTCTCATTGCATGTTCTCTCTTCTCCGGTCTGCCAGTCCTTTCTCTGCTCCTGTATTTTTATCAGATCCACCAGACGTGGCCCTGGCTGAGTTTCTGAGTCTGGTGAAGGCGGAGGGTGGACATGAGAGCTGCTGTCCATCAGCTGATGATGTGCAGTAACACTCCCTCCTCTGTAAAGCAGGAGTTCATGGCTCCTGCCTGTGCTGTTTACTTCCATGAATATTGCTGCCTCAGCATTGCCAGCCCTGGACAGCAGTGCTGCCACCACAACAGTCAGTAAGCTAGCCAGTAAGCTAGAAACCACTGGTGACCTGCTGTTTGCTGTGTGTCAGTGCAGGACTTCTTCAAACACAGCTGCATGCTGCATTTTCGATGCCTGTGTACATTTATATCTCCAGGAGATGAAACCATTTAAACTGTATGTGCTCAGTGCTGCAGCCAGGCATTTAGAGGGCTTCTTGCATTCAAAGGGCTTAGAAAGTAAAGGTAGTGTCTACTCAGTCCCTAAAGCACAAGTGAATTTTCCTCTTTTAAAAGTACGTGCATGCTTACAACATTTGACTTGCAGTCTTGTGGTGGTACGTTGAGTGGTGCAGCAGCATAAAATGTAACTATGAGGCATGATAACCTAGACTATAAACTTTTTTTTTTTTCCGTGAGAGATGTGAATACTGAGATAACTTCAGGGTTGTGGAGTAAGAGCTCTATTTGGGGAAGGCACCAAGTGTCATGTTCTTACAAACTGATTCCTAAATGATTCATTCCGGGGTTGTCAAAAGTGCCTGTGTTTCGTGTGCTCTCAGAGATAAAAGGTCACTGTAGTAAATGAGTGGCTGAAACTCAGCTGGGAAGCTCATCTGAATTAATTCAGACTGTCCCCAAGTTAATACTCTCTGTAAGAGACCTTGGTGACTCCCGGAGAAGTAGGATGGATTCCGGGAAACACCACTGTGCATTTAAGAGGGCATTGAAAATGTCACAAACCAGTTACTAGTATAGATGTTTTCACAGCTCCATACTGTACAAACGGAGCACAAGGTTCTTCAGGCAGAAGACATAAGTAATACAAGAACCTAATCTTTTCACCTTCCCTTGAATTCTTTACCTTGAACTGATTTTAATCTGGAGTAAGTAACATGAGTTTCCGGGTATTTTTGACATTTATTGTTCTCAATGTATTCTGTGGTATGGATATTTTTTCAAAACCATTGTCCATGTCTTCTTTGGTAGAGATCAAGAGAAATTATGTGACTAGACCAAAATCATCCAGTGAGCTCCAGATCTCCCAGACTCTATCCTCCATGCCTTATTGTCCCTTTTCCAGCATAAACAACTACTCTTCTAACTCCCATCCCAGAAGACGATTTTAATGATGGTTGGTTGTTTTAGGTGATCTCAAAATGGTGCTCTGCCCTAATGTTAGGGATCACAGCCTGGAAATGCAAGTGGAAACCAGATACTTCCTTGTAATTGTTGGGCCCCTTTCTGCAGTGCTCAGCCAGCTGTGGGGAAGGGGTCCAGACCCGGACTGTCACCTGCAGAACGCAGCAGGGCTCTCAGGCTCAGGACTTCGCTTGCCTAATGGAGCCAAAGCCATCGGCCACCCAACCCTGCCTTAAGGAGAACTGCGTCCAGGAAATTGGCTGGCACGTTGGAGACTGGGGCCTGGTGAGCATTGCATTTTCATGGGTCGGAAATAACTGATTATATTGCTGTGCTCCTCACAAACAAGCTTTGATCCGTGCAGTCTGCACGTTGGCTGAGGCTGGGAGCATGTACTGCTTCATTACCGGTCTCTTGGCTCACAGTTGCATTGTAACTGGCACTAGTAATGCTCCAGTTAATCTGCTGCCTGCTTTGTATGCAGCTGCTACAAAAATAAATCCTTCTGAGGGAGGGATTATAGTTTCAGTGACAGTGGCAAAATGCAGCCAATAAACTGAAACAATCTACTCTTGCTGCTTATTCCCAGTTCTTCAGTCCGTTGCTGTGAATAGCAGAACAGCTCTCTGGCTGAGTATGGCCTAGAGCTCCAGGCTTCAGGACTGGCCATTGTGTTTGGTGATACAGTTTAAAGTACATTTTTGTAATTGTTCAGATAAACTGTGCTTCAGCTGGATTACTCTTGTGTTTGTAGAGAACGCCAGACTGTGTTCAACCTGGGGAAAGTGCCGGGGGGAGGAAATAGGGGTAGATCCAATGCATCAGGTGACTTCCAAACACGCTTTTTCCTTCCCATGCTAATGAGACTAGCTTGTTCTGAGTTAAAGCATGTTAATTCTGGTTCTTCATGAGATGTGGGCCAAGTTTTAATAACAGCTAAAGAAGTTGCATACCTTAATCTGACCTTTCCTGGCCCCTGGATTTCCAATATCAGAAGGGTTCCCACCTGCATCTGCATAAGAGAGGAATACTCTACCAGTGTTTGCAGACCTTGCCATGAGTAGGTGGCTTACACAGATACCTCATTCTCTCCCCTCCCCTGAGCTCATTGCTCCCTCTTCATCCACAGCTTCCAGTGAGAACTCCAGTCAGCTACTTACAAGAAAGCCACCAGTTTGCTTTCCTGTTGTAAACCCTTCTTATTGAATGCATAGTTCAAAACTGACCCTCTCACAGCTGGTGGATCCCCATAGTCCTGAGATGCCTTCAGGCCCAGCTGAAACAATTCATTCTAGCTCCCTGCTGCATCACTCTGGGTAACAGCAGCTCATCTGGATATTACAGGCTGAGCTTGGCTCAGAGCCTAATGCTTCAGGGATGGGTGCAACATTTGGTAAAATGGTTTAAAGTATGGTTTTCTAATTGTTCAGATGAAGCCAGCTGAAATATTGTTTGCTTTGTCTTGGTGGAGGAAGCTGTGCTAAGCCTGCAGCTAATCATGCAGCTGTTCCACACTTCTGGTGCATGAGGTTTCTGTATTCGGCCTCTGGTGCCTGCTCACTTGCCTTGTCTCTGTCATCAAGTGTTCGAAGAGCTGCAGTTCGGGCATCCGGACACGCCAGGTCATCTGCGCTGACGGCGACTCCAAATTCTACAGTCCCGAGACATGCAAAGCCATCCAGCCACAGAAACCAGCCACCCTGGGCAGCTGCAACATGCAGCCCTGCTACCTGCCGCAGCGTGAGTGGTATTGCTGCACACCTAGCTCTTCCTAGGATGCTTTTGTTTAGGAGTTCCCAGCTATGTCCGTCTCCATTCTGTGAGTTTGTTTTATGCATATAACCGTGGCATCTTCAGAGTCCCGGTACCTGTGCTGTTTGAAATTTGTGTAACAGGCTTGGGAACAACATTGGTATGTGCTATTTTGAATTCAGTATTCTGTGATGGCTCTGTCCCACGGTGTGCTGCAGACTGACCCCAGGACTCCCACTCAAGAAAGATGGCAACCTGGGCAGGCTCAGCAGCTAAAAGCTATAGCCAACTCTCATCCATCTGTGCACCAGCTATAAAAGAGGCACAACTGCTCAGAAGACTCTGCTTGCTGTCTGTGCCTAGTCTTCGTGCCAGAGCTGAAATGCTGACTTGTGTCTGCCTGCCCATTGCCGGCTGCTGTCCTGAGAATCCAGATGAATCCAATTGCTGCTCAGCAGCTGTTCCAGGAGAAAAGAAACATCTTCATCAACTTTAGTTTCCTGTTGACTCTTGGATGCATTTGTAATTATTAGAACGTAGATCTGGACTAACTGCACACATTTTATGTATGTCTCTCTTTGCAGAGGTCCCCAGTATGCAGGACACTATGGGATACGATGTCACTCGCCAGTCCTTGCTGACACGTTACAACCCAAACAGCCCTGCCACAGGTTTGGTAGAATTTTATTAGTTTGGGGGTTTGATGATCGTGGACTTGAAATAGGGTGTGGTCGGGGGAAGGTTCCTCCTTTTCTTCATTTCTCTCATTCTTTTGATGGGCTTCTAGACATTCACGGAGCTAGGGACAAAGTGTAGATTCTTTTACACCAATAGTGAGCAGTATTTGAATCTGTCCATGTAGAAGACTCTGTAGCAGTATATAGATCCCAGGTTCTGACAGAATGACTTAAGTGGCTGGGTAAGAGAAACGCTACTCAAAGCAGATTATAGGAAGAAGAAGGGATGATGCGAGGCAACCACAGTAATGTGGCAGGTGGTTTCTCATGGGAGGGTAGAAAGAATGGTCAGGGCAGTGAGAAAGAACCTCAGGACAGCCAAATCCAGAAGGGTGGGCCAGAAGACACACATTCAGGTGAAACCCTGATGCAGAAAAACATGCCCTGTAGCCTTGGGCAGGTAAAAGAGAGCAGAGATGAGGAAAACTGACCAGATTTTGATGCTCGCTGGCACACTTTAAGGAGTTCTCTCCCCAGATTCTGGTGATGAACGGATGCTCTCTGGGAGCGCCACGATCCATAGTACCTCTGGGAATCACCACATCCCATCCACCAAGGACCATGGCATCAACTTGTTGCCTGTTCGCTGGGAATCTCGGTTGCGCTCATCGGGTTCCCATCAGCTCAGCTTCTCTCAGGACCCCACTGCAGGGACTGGCTCTCAGGACTGTCACCGGAGCACACACGGCTGCTGTCCAGATGGGCACACTCCGGCTTCAGGCCCTTTGGGGAAAGGTTGCCCCTTCAGCACCTGTCACCGAAACAGGTAGCTGGAAGTAGATAGGCCTGAGCAGGGAGGCATTGCCTTTCCTGGGGGCTTACTGAAATTTACAGCCTGTGCCTGTTGAGCTGGGCAGGTCAGGTATTGCTGCAGCCCCTCTGCCTTCTGCCTGTAGGTATGGATGCTGTCCTGATGGAGTATCGGCTGCCCAGGGTCCAAACAACATGGGATGCCCACAATATTACCGTGATGTTCAAGTGAGCAGAAATCAACCCACTGCGGCCACTTCAACAGTGAGTACAAAAACCTTTTGCATTTGAGGAGTCCATCAGGTACAAAGATTCAGATTTGACCTCAGTGACTCACATGGTGGGTTTCTGTTGTGCTTCATCTCTGCCAGTAATGCTGGGGAACCAATACTTCAGGCATGGCATCAAGCCTTTCACCCACTCCACTCCAGTTCAGTCTGGGGCATCCACCTGTGATCCGCTGTAAGCAGGGGACAGAGTGGGTGGTTGGGAGATATCTGAGAAGTAGAAGACCATCCGGTGTAAAACTGATGGAATAATTCCAAGTAATCAAATTTCTGTCAGTCAGAAACTTGCCATCCAATTTCTAGCAGGGGAAAAATGAGAAAAACATGGCTACTATTAACTGTCTTTGTTTGTCAACTCTGCAGATTATTTGAGGCCAAAATAGCCAGGGAGGTAATTCCTCAAATAACTTGGGGTGCTTGGTGGGGCCAGCCAAAAAAACTGGCCTGCTGCTGGGCTGGTTAGGTCTGTCTTTCAGAGAAGTGCAGCCCTGGCTCCATGGCTGACAACCAAGTTTTCCCACTCCCTCCCAGCATGAAAGCCTCTAGGAGGCAAACAGTAGTGGTTCCTCTAACAGCTGGCCTTCTGCAGCCGACAGCTTGAACACGGTGCCTTGCATGTGCTACTGTCCTCATGTATGCACGATAACTTTTGGCTTTCCATTCCTGTCTCTAAGGCAAGCCAAGCCTTGTCCCAGCAGCACCCCTCGGGCGAGTGCCGCAGTTCTGTGTACGGCTGCTGTTTTGACAATGTCGCTTCAGCATCAGGCCCTCGAGGGGAAGGATGTCTCAATAGGCCCAACTACCGTAAGTGATGCTTTGGCTTCTTGGTTTAGAAACGTAGGAAGAGTCCTGCAGAATCCAGCAGCATATGGAAGCTTCCTGTGTAGAGGCTCTGCTCTCTGTGAAATGTAGTAAATTATCTCTTTGAAAAGAAATTCTCCCTGATGGCTGGGGCAGGGGAAGCTTGGAGGGAGTGTAGAAAAACAGCCAGATGGTTCAGTTCTGTCAGCTACAGCAGAGATGGTTGTCTTCTGCTGGCTGATAGTTGGACAGAAGTGTGTGTGTGTGTGTGTGTGATCTCTGTCAGTCTGTAGGACTTCTGGGGAGCTGTTTGCCCCTGAGAAGACACCCTGATGCAGTCTGGAGTGCTCAACATTACTTACCTGGGTTTAGGAGACGTAGAGGCTCTCCTGAGGAATCAGGGCTGTGCTCAGCCTTCAGACAGCCCATGGACAGGGGTGGAATGAGAGCTACAGTGAAGGATGGAGGTGTTGCTCAGGGCTACATGGATGCTTTCAGCCGGCAGAGTTCAATACAGTGCCTGCTGTGCGATGAAGGCACTAGAGCTGCTGGGCAGAGGCATCTCTGCTCCTGTAGTTCCCAGCTGTATCCTCTGTAGGCACATTGCTGCTGCATTGCCTTGCCCTTTTTCCACAGCACAGAGATTACTTGGTGGCCAGCCCTGGGGGGGTGCCTTGGGGAAAGGGAAAGCTCTCTGGGTCCTCTCTGCTCAACCACAGCTTGGCAAAGGACCCCTCCCTCAGGAAGAGCCCTGCGTCCAGTGTGTTTCAGCATGTGGCTGTGACACCTGTGACTTGGAGCACAGGGCTTGGTTTGTAGACATATTGGGCTGCTCTTTATATCAACGTGTAGAGGGGTATTTTGTAATGCACGAGGCTCCACAACTGGGTCTAATCCACTCGCTTTGTGGGCTGGAAATTTGCAAACGGCAGCCATGTGCCCCTTGCAGGAGAGGAAGCCTGGGAGCCAAACATGTACCTGCACAATTCCCCAAGAAAGACCGTAAAGCATCTGTCTAGTATCTAGATTCAGAAAAGTCTCTGAGGTTGGTTTTCCTCTCACCAGTGGCAAACTGGGGCAGAAAGAAACATGTGAGCAGCTGCCCAATTTCAAAGCAGATCTGGTTGCAAAACTCAAGTGTCCTGTGCCGACAAGGCCCATCAGATCATCTAGGCGGGTGGCTTGAGGCACCTGGACCTTTGTACTTCGTGACCCTGACATTTTCCTCTGTTCTGCTGTTTCTGGTAGCGTATCCTGTTGTATGCCTGCTGCCCAGTGCCCACGGCCCCTGCACAAACTGGACCACTCGCTGGTACTTTGTGACCGTCGTTGGCAAGTGCAACCGGTTTTGGTACGGTGGCTGTCACGGCAATAAAAACAGCTTTGCCTCGGAGGAGGAGTGCATGAGAGTGTGCCGCAATTCTGTGGTGGTCAGTCCTCTGGAGCACCAGCCCTCTTCTAGCACAGGAGCCCTGCAACGCCAGCACGCTGGCTCCCACTCTCGTACAGGGGAATCTCGGGGTCAGCAGCAGCCACCCCCAAGAGAGTCTGCAAGTCACAGCCAAGAAGGAAGAGCCTATGGGGCTTCACACCCCACGCAAGACAGCCACACACAGGACAGCTGGAGAAGCGAGGCGCTGCCAGAGGCTTTTCCGAGGACTGGTGTGCTGGAGAGCCAGCACTGGGGCACCCAGCAAAGTGGAACGCACAGCCTGAGCCAGCCGCGCCTGCAGGACACGGCAGCGCCTGGGCCCCCGCAGCGGCAGCGCGGCAGTGCCCAGCCCGCGCGGCCCCAGGAAGGCCAGCAGTGGCACAAGGCTTCTGGAGCAGATGTTTCCATGACAGAGGGATTTGGGCACCAGGCTCCTGCAGACTTGTTCCCAATGTGGGCTCTGCACAGGTGATGATTTTTTTTTTTTTTTTCCTTCCCTGTTCTGCCAGCTCATTGTGAAGTGTCAGTACAGCTTACTCTGGAGTGAAAGCATTGCCCCAGCTGGGACCAGCTGACTGGGAATACCGTGCAATGGATTGGCTATACATATGACCCTTTGGTAAAACGAGTTATTCAGGCCCTGGAGTTACCTGCTGTCTCTTTTTCCTTGCACTCTCCCTGCTCTCTGACAGCACTGGAAGTATGGTGTGTGAGAAGACTACAGGATCCTGGGGTCTCTGTCTGGGAGGCATTCTTACACTGTAAATGAAAATCCATAGGTGTTTTTCTTGTTCTGACCAACAAATTTAGCTGGTTGTCTAGCTTGTTCAGAGTGTGCAGTGGGTTGTTCTAGGGAACTCTTTTAAGATGCAGAGTTTGGATCAGGATCAGGATCCAGACAGCGTCACCCTGAAAATCAGGAGTGCATAGACCTAGATCTAAATGTGTCTGCACTGGATCTCTGTCTGTCTGTCTGCTGAGCTGAACCTAGTTTCTTCAGAGGAGAGGGGTTGTAGAACTCTTTCTCTTCCTGGAGATACTGTAGCATTCAGTCTGTCCAAAGCAACCCTTGCCATACAGGAGAGAGCTCCCCACATGTTGCCTGGTGCATCTGCTCTGAGCCAAATGGGCAGCTGATCCTGCTTTGCCCTGTGGTTGTGACTCATCCAGAGTCACATTAGAGGACCCAGAGGAGAGGAGGGCAGCAGAGGTGCCAGCGGAATTGCCTTCTCTTTCAGAGCCATCCTGGAGGAAGCCAAGCCTTCTCTTGTGACAGCAGCGGTGGGACAAAACATCCAGCTGGTCTGCAAGACAGGCATGTCCCCCTTCTCCAGAGTGGAGTGGATGAAGGACGGCCGACCAGTCTCCTCTGACAGGTGAGCTCAGCTCCCTTCATTTGTAGAGCAGATGGGCTCCTTGCTGGGCAGAGTGCCAACTGTGGTCACCTGCTCTCTTTATAATCTTACTGTTAACAATCTTAAAAGATAAAAATTAAAAATAAACAAGTCCTGTGTTGACCTAAGAGCATGAACTGTCCACCTGCTCTGTGCACAGCAGAAACAGATACAGTCTGCAATAGTATTGAGGCACTGGCTAGTGTTATGGGACAAAACAGGTGCTGTCCCATAACAAGGCACTGGTGGAAGCTGACATGTGGGTAGTGATACAGAAAAAATATTGTTTCTCTTGGATTCATCTTGGGACAGCACTAAGTCAGTAGTCCAGGGTGAAGCTTATTGCTAAATAACTCAGAGTTCCTCTGGCTGGAAGTTTCTGGTACTCTCATGTAAGATATAATTTTTATTTAAAAACTGCTTTTCAAGCCTTTTTTCCTGGTAAGTCTGTTTTCAGCAACAGTTTGGAGCTGGACAGTCGCTTTGTGTTACGAAAATCACAGTTAAGAAAAGCCCAGTTATGCTTTTCTGTTTGCAGATAACTGCTGGGGCTCAAGCTTCTGCCTGGAAGGGCAGTTTGCCTCCTCATGGGAGACGGTTGCTGAAAGCAGTTCCCTGTTTTCCCATCTCAGTTTCCTCTCTGTTCCTGACCTCCTTTCTGCCGCAGTTATTTCCCCTGCCTGTGACCTCTCTGTGGTCAACAGGGTTTTGTTTACTTCTAAGCCGGGGAGGGCACTACATGGTGATGGTTTATGTAACATCAGCGCGAAGAAGGGCTGCTCTGCCTTGGCCAGTTGCTGTCCGTGGCCAGGCAGAGGCAGTTAATCCTTGCTCCTGTTGCAGACACACCTACCAGTCCGACAGCTCCTTAGTGATCAGCCACGTCAAGGTGGAGGACACCGGGACTTACACATGCCTCATTTCTGATGGGAGGACAGAGAGCCGACAGATTCAATTACAGATCATAGGTGACTAATCTTCCTCCTAAGACCAAAGAGATACCTCAGGGCTCCTTGTTAACATTTTTTGATCAGAGGAGCAATAAAGCCAGCTGCAGGAGCAAACTTCCTCTGCTGCCACGCTGTGCTAACAGCATTGGCTTCACTCCGTGGCAGTGGTGTCCCAAGCGAAGCAGTCTGTCTCCTCCACTGTCAGGGTGCCAAGGGGGGAGTGTGGAGGCAGCCAGGCTTCTTTTAGTGTTGCCTCATGATAAAGCCTTAGCCCTAAAGCACTGCTTCCCCTGCAGTGCCACCCCAGAGCCAGAGTAGTGGCTTGCCTGTAACCAGTCTGCCATAGCTGTCTGTGCTGGTGCGTTTGTGTTTTGTGTTTTGCCCAAACAGGTCCTTCTGGGTAACAAACGATTCTCTCTTCTGAAAAACGTGTTTTATTTAAGAAAAAACCCCAAACAAACAAAAAGAAAGACTAGCTCAAAAGATGGGCCAGCAAGGCACCCTGTAGCCTTCAATCTCTGAAGTCTGCTTTGTCACAGCAATGGCACATGGGGCAGAAGGCATTGTGGCCTAAGGGATGCTGCAACATGTTCACTGACAGAGGAGAGAAAGGAGGCTAAAATTGCTTTCCTGCAGGTCTGTGACTCTCATTAGTAGACAGCGCAGGCTTACTGCACTAGTCAGCCAGAAAACAGATGGCTGAAGGGCTCTTTGGCTCCAGTTCAGCGAGCTCTCCCAAGCTCATAGAAACCCTACGCAAGAGGTCACAGTAAGAAGTGTCCTTTTATTCACATATGGCATTTTATTTTGAATAGAGTACCAGAGCGCTGTTCTGGCAGAGGGTGAGAGAGGTCGGGTCCTTCACAAGGAAAATCAGCAGCATCAAGAGCTATCCAGAGGCAGGAAGGTTGTACAGGCAGCCGGTTCCTCCATGCATCAGCAATTCACATACAGGTAGGTTCACATACAGCAACAGTTTGTCCATCGTGCCCAGCTGATGAACCATATGGCATCTCTTCATGTAGAAAAGCTGAAGATTGGAAAGGTCCTGGGTCAGCTGTTCTAGGGCACGGTTGGGAAACAAGCAGTACTGAACGGCTGACAACAGGAATGGGAGAAGATCCCAGTCACAAGCTGTCTTCTGCCCTCCCCGAGGGTCTCTTGAAAGAAACCTGTTCTGAGCAAAGATGCGCAGGGAGGCTGACAGTAAAGGAGCTAGGTTCAAATGGAAGTAGAAATATCAGGGGCAGCATCATTAGCTGTTCAAATTAGAGCAGGCAGAAAGAGAAATCTGTCCTGGAAAAAAAGCAAAGCAAAAAGGAACTGCTTAACTAGCCCAAAATAGACATAGGTATGTTTAAAAAAGCTCTGGTTTCTTTAGTCTCCACCCATTTATTTTAAATATTTTGTGAACAAACCAGTTTGACTCAAAACTTTATCTCCTCACCTACTGGGTGGCATATTTTGTAGCTGCTTGCATGTTTTTTGGTGCTTCTAGGCTCCACAGAAATAAAAATGTACAAATTATTTTTGCCTTAAATGCAGCATGTTGGGTTAAATGGGACCATGATCTGATCTTTCCCTCCTTTTGAGTTTACAACCTTAGACCCAGCCAATTTGCTGAACTCCCCAGCAACCTCCTTAGCTGCTTCTGCCTAAAAGCAGAAAGAAGTGATTCACTGAATTCAGAGCATTGAACTAAGGCTCTTTGGTTTTGTTTTTTGAGATCAAAAATTCAGGTCAGAGAGTGGGGGTGGGGAAGATGATGTTTTATCTGACTCTGGGAACATCATGGTTTCCCTCCCTTCTAAAATGGTGTTTAGCTGTAGTTATGAGTGCAAAGAGCATGAGGAGATGGGTGGTATGAGAGCCTGACCCCAAACTTTCTGCTGCATGGAGTGAAGGGCCAGCTCCTGGGCCTTGGACGCGGTTAGGTGATTGCAATGGGCTCTTCACACCCCAAAAAAAGTTATCTGCTCTTTTTTTGTGTGCCAGATAAGCAGCTTGGGGGAAGCTTGCTTGGTGCCCCGTTCAGGACATTGTACCATTTGCCATGTGCTCATCCTGTTAACACTTCCTAGGCTATTATCCAGAGGGATGCTGTAAGAAACAGGGTTGCTGCCTCTAAAGGGTTAAGCTGGCTGGCAGGAGTGCAGCACCAAGCCGTGCTGAACTGGAGCATGACTTGATGCAGACTGCTCTTTACTGCATGTTGGTAGTGGCAAGTATTGGAACTCTTAACGGGAGTGCAGAGACCGCCCTTTCCCATTGGAGGAAAAAAGTAAGGCTTGTGATTAAAAGAGCCTTGTGCTGAAGGTCAAATGCTGAATGAGGACTTTTCTGTATCTTTTGCTGTGCTTCTGGACTTTGCAGATTGAGAATGGATAAGAGTGAGCCCTCAGTGGTAGAGGCCAACGTCGGGGAGAGAGTCAGACTGCCCTGCACAGTGGAAGCATCGCCGGCTCTCACCATCCAATGGCAGAAAGATGGGCAGCCCCTCTCCTCTCCCAGGTGAGCTCCCAGGCGGCTCCACTGTACCCATGGGCGGGTTCATGTGGAGGAGAGCCAAGCTTTGCCTTGCCTTCCCTGTCCCCTCGCTGAGAGAAGGGAGCTGCTGGCCAGGCAGCCAGGGCCCGTCCTGCTTTGTGCTGGCCAGCTTCTTCTGTTGGGGCCAGACCATACTGCTTGTCTGCCCTGGCCTCACTCTCACACATCAAAGTCTGAACATTGAACTCCCGAGAGAATAGCTGTGACACCGGGTCTGCAAGTGAGACGAAGCTGAAATTTGTTCATCTGCGAGATTAGCAGAAAGAGAACACATGGCAAGCAAATTTGCCAAAAAACAGCTGGTCTGTGAGCCAGAACAGAGGTTTGCAGCAAAGAGAGAGGTCAGAGTTCCTGCAGTGAACTTCCACAGCTACTGGTGCTGCTTTCCTGCAGCTCCCCTCACCCTCTGCTCCCAGAAACCTGCTCTAGCAGCAAGCTTTTCCAGAGTCTACAGCACTAGTGCTGGGATTTGAGGACCAGGGGTTGCATTACAGGTTGAACTGAGCTGCTGCTAAACCTTTGCACAGTGCTACTACGAAGTTGTGCAGGAGACTCAGCTTCAGCTCTGGTGGCTGGAGTCCCATCCTGAGCCAAGCCCAGGCTGAGGGGCCTTCTGGTTTCTTTTTTTTTCCCCAGGCACAGGCAGCAGTCGGATGGGGCCCTGGTGATCAGTCGGGTCAGCTCTGAAGACGTTGGCTTCTTTACCTGCATTGCTTCAAACGGACGTGACCAGGACCAGCGCCAGGTCCTGTTCCGACCTCTGGGTACTGGATGGGCGGAGGCACGCATGGCACAAGCGGGAAACGGGGAGGGCTGGGCAGTCTCTGGGGTTCTTGTCTGGCCATGCCTCTCAGCTTCACACCTGATGTTTAACAGGCAGCTTGAGGGCAAGGGAAGAGTGAATTGTTTTACCCAGTGTGTGTCTAGTAGATAGATCGTGGTGCTCCAGGCAGCTGGGAAGAGGGACCAGTAGCACAGTACAAGTGACTCTTAGGGTCTTGTTTCTGGAACGCTGGTGTGGAATGGGTAAAAGGGGCAAGAGGAACTAGGGAGATGGTTCTGTGCATATGATGTGCTTGTGTCCAGCTGGAGGAAAAAGCTCTTTGAGGCCTCTGCTACTTGCCCTTGCTTGGGCCAAAGCCCTTAGAAAATCTGCATTCCCCATAGCAACAGCATCATGTCTCCAAATATGCTGTTTCAAGGCCTAAGGGCTTACAGCTCATCATAGCATATGTTGGACTTTTCCCGTGAGAGAGTGTTCCTACTACAGTGGGCAGCATGGCATTGTCTTCCTGCTAGCAATGATTTCTATTCTGGTCTAGGAGAGCTGAGGATCACTGGTCTCCTGCCAAGCATCACAGTACCTGAGGGAGGGACTGCTCAGCTTCACTGTACAGTGACTGGCAACAACGTGAATATAAGGTGGTCAAGGTGAGCAAAAATCAGACAGAACTTGCCTTTTCTTCTCTTCTCAAGCCGCATCACCCTCCAAATAATTATGCAGGAAGCCTCCCAGGTAAGGAAGAGACCCATGGTTCTCAGCCCCAACTAGCATCACCTACCCTTTCCTAAACAACCCGCCTGTTACCCAGAAATCCTGGGCAAGATCCCCGTGGGTGTAGGGAAGGTCCCCATGGGGTGCAGGGATCACCAAGTTCATGTTCCAGCCAAATAAGGAGGAAAGCAGATGTTAAGCCAAGATTTCATGGAGTTCAAAAGGACTCCATGCTGGAAAGCTAGTGACGTTACAATAGCAAAACCTAAAATGAGTAATCAGAAGACCTTTAGTTGGCCTTTTATAAAACTCTCTACCTAAATTTTGCAAACATTTTAGCCCTACAATAACAGTGGCTCTTCTCCCAGCTTCCTGCTGCAATGGTTCTCGCTCTCTACTGTCAAGCTATGTTTTAATAATGTTTTATTAACATTTATTTATTTAAAAATGTTTTAATAAGGTAAAGGAAAAGCTGTGTCCTCTTCTCTTGATGGTTTACAGGGAAACTCTGCGTTTATGCAAGTGTTTGGTGTGGGGTTTGTTCCCTATTTGAAAATAATCAGTTCTGTTTTGGAGCCTTCTTATGAAGGATACAAAGATGGATTGGTAATTATTAAATTACTCCAAGGGGTAGGACTGAAGTGGGCCATCTCACAGACAGCTTTTCTTCCATACGTAAGTTTGGTATTTAACAAAATTATATAAGTTTCAGAGTCTGAATGAAACCCTTTTCAGTGAAACAAATTGCATTTCCTTGGTAATTCATAATTCAGGCTGTTTTCCTGCTGGGCACAGAGTATTCCAGGAGGAAAAGAACAGACACAATCTTGCTGGTATTTTAAACATTTTTTTTTTAAACAAACTTTTAAGAGAGAGGAAAGAGGGCGCATTGCTCACTACCCCATATGTTCTTCGAGCAATATGCGCTGCTATCAGTGCCAGCCAAACAAGCACTGCCAGACCACAACCTGGAGAGAGCGAAAGGCACCCTGGATTTTCTATTAGTTCCTCAAACCTCAAAAATGTGTAATAGCGGAAAGGACAATGTCTTTATAGAGAGCACACAGCTAGCTACCTCCCACACAGACAGTGGGCTAACGGATGCAGACTCGCGCAGGCTCGTGTTACTACCCAGTTGTAGAGCCAGGTTGTGGCAAAAGATTTCTTCTTCCTTCCTGCTGAATTTGTGAAAATTCACCCCTTTCACAGAACACGAGTTCCCAAAGAGCACAGAGAGCTCCTTTAGCCCCCATGGGTGAGAACAGTGATACAAAATGGGTTTTGCCACAGGAACGGAGTCCCCATGCGGGCAGATGGCCACCACATCCACCTGTCCCAGGATGGAAGCCTGGTCATAAGCAACGTTCAAGAGGCTGACGAGGGATCCTACACATGCAGTGCCTACAGCAGCAGCAACTCCGTCAGTGCCAGCACGGAGGTGAAAGTGCTGAGGAGCAGGCCTAGCAGTGAGTACAACCTGGCCTCCCTCCTTCTCCTAGCACTGGTCCTGCCTCTTGGTCACTATTATATGCCTGCCCATTGCATGTGGCCATCCACTGCCAACCTCGGGCTTTGGGGAGCAGCAGGAGCCCCCTGGGTTGTGCTCCCTGAGGAGCCCAGCTTTCCCTGGCAGAGAAGCAGTATGGTGGAAACACCACCCCCCCCCACCCCCTTCCCAAGACACTGGGAGTCTAATTAACTTCCTGAGGCCAAAGTGCCATAGTTGGTTGACTAAATAGTGGCTGCAAGATTTGTATTTGGACTCTGGAGACCATCCAATTGGCTTTACACAGTGTGTAGAGTGGTCTTTTCTCAGAAGATTGGCCCCAGAAACTCTGTTCTCCTCCTGTTGCACCAGAGGTATCACCTTCTCTCTCATCCTTTTTTTTGGACTGAATTGGAAACAATCCTCTTAGAACTAGCAGGGTGGAGAAAGCAGGACCATGCTGAGTCTTTTGGGAGGGAAAGGAAACCTGATGATAAGCCCTGGCAGTGTATTTACAGCTGCTTCACCTTGTGCTTGGCTGCAGCTACTGTGAATCATGTTGTGGACGCAAGCAGAGAGTGCGTGGACCAGCCACACCTCGCCAACTGTGACCTGATCCTGCAGGCCCAGCTCTGCAGTAACGAATACTACTCCAGCTTCTGCTGTGCCAGCTGCTCTCGCTACCAACCACAGGCCAGCCCTCCCCGGCACCGCGGCTGACAGACACCTCCACGGCCACCTGAAAGTACAGGTGACCCATTACAAGACTGGAAGTCTGAACTCTGTCCTCTTACTGCGTGAAACTCTTCTGGGAGCTGTGCCCTGCTGGAAAGCTTGAGGGCGAATTGAACACAGTGTGGTGGGTGTAACTGTTCAAAGGTGGGAGACTCACCACCCTCAGGTTTATTGCAAGCTCAGTTTTTCCCTCCTGTATGCCCTGCTGTAGCTAATCCATCTCTTCATGTAAGAGTAGTTGCTGTTATTCACAGAACAAGATGATACTGGGACTGTAACATGCTGTGACTTTAGAGAAGGCAGATAACCAGCATGAAAGAGGAAGAGACCAATTCTTCATAGAATCTCTTCTCAGAAAGAGAAGTGCTCTTAAAAAAAAAAAAAAAAAAAAAAAGTTTGAAGATGAGTCTGAATTATCTTAACTAAAGCACTAATGAGCAATGAACATTTGTAATCCTGGGGAGCACTTTCTATCTAAATGCAAAAGACTCTGGCTATGAGAAACAGTTTGATGCACATAAAATTACTGTTCAGGTCCTATGAGATTACTAGCTCTAGGGATGCAGCTGTAATGTCATGTTACTGTAGTTTTATTCCAGTAGACCTTAGAGAAATTTCTAGTTGGGTCAGTTGGGTTTCTACTTGACTATAATCAGTTTTGGATTGAAATGCAGAAGCAATGCTTCACAGAACACTTGGAATACTTTTAGCCCTTCCTGAATGTTAGGGCTAATTTAGATAAACATACCAACACTGTTACCTGTTCTGAGCTGCAGTTTAAATAGCACTTGCTGTAGGAAGGCTCAGCAGATTTTTTTTTTTTTTTCTGAGCCAGAACTGTGCTGTTGAATTTATTGTAAAGCTGGGCTCAGTGGTAACATTGTGCTGGGTTTCAGCTTGGGGAGGCGAATAATGTACACATAGAAATACATGTTGGGACATTTGACTTGCCAGAATAAACCTCTCAATGATCTGCTTAGTCTCAGTTAAGTCCAGGAAAGCCTGGCTCTGCATGTGGCCTGGGCTGATTCCTGCTGCTGTGAGCTAACAACCGAGGACTTCCAGATGCAGAGCAGCTAGAGCTGACAAGCATCCTTCATTTCAAGACTAACACGGAGTGGCAGCCAGCATGCATATAGGGCTCTGAACGTCTCGGGCAATAAGGGCTGTACGTGGAGACGTGAGGCGATACCATGATTTGTATCAGGAAAGGTTCTTGGGTATCTTCAGTGTCTCAAAATGGCATTATTTCTCAGCAAAAGCATTTTTATACAGCCTCCATGGTATTGTTTTACCCTAGCATCAGCCCTACAGTCTCCCTCTTCCTCCTTCCAAACTCCCTGTTGAGACTTGGATGGGTTAATCATATTAATCAGCACCATCAGCCATTCATTATTTGCATAGATGTAGCTATAAACTAGTAGACTGGTGTGTAGTGTTGATATTGATGTTTTGGTTGGAGGGGGTGGAGGATTCTTTTTTTTTTCTTCTCCTACTTCTGTTAATTTAAGGCAGGAAGCTAATTCAGGACTCTGCTCACACCACTCTCCTCTCCTTCAGTCCAGATTCAGTACTCAGGGCAGTAGTAACACATAGGTGGAAATCTCCAGGTTTGACAGCCTAAAGGTGGTTTGGACTCTCAACCCAGTAAATCAGTTCAGATGCACCACCTTAAAATAAAAATTACTAACCTAATGAGTGCACTCTCTTCAGCACAGGTATGGCTTTGGGATTGGACACACTGCTTTAAGACGTGAACAAACTGAAAAGTCTAGAAGCAATCCAGTAAAGGAGCGAGAGGTGACAGTCACACAGCTATATGGGGGTGGGTCTTTCTGGGGTCTGATAGATTCTGCTTGCTACAAAACACTTATTTTTGCAGTTAAGACCCTTTAATTTGATTAGGGAAAATGTCCTCTGCTGTGTAATTCATGGTAGGTGTTACAATGTAAGGTTTGAAGTTGACTTTACTGGATATTTAAGAACAATGAAATGGTCCCGAGAACTTCTAATTGTGTTTGTATATAATTTTGCATTTAACATCTCAGACCAGCACCTACTATGGGATAGTTTAGTATGACTTTGCCTTTTGAGACCAGGGACTTGTCTCTGACTCTGTAAATTCCAGCCTTAGTGAAGCCCTGTTGGTTCACATGTGGCAGGCAGAGAGGGGAGTCAAGGTCTGTGGAGCACACTTAGAAGTTGATTGTTGTTATATCAGACTCTTTTGTCCCAGAATAATATCCCTTGCTACTCTGTCAGAGGCTCTATTGTTAGAATATTTAAATATAGTGTGTAGTCAGCTTTCATTTAAGCTGTATGGTTGGTTATAGAAGCTGTGGCCAGGGAGTGCCTTCTCCAAATTGGTGAGGGCTGTAACAGGCACCTGCAGTCTGAGGGGCAGGACGTTACTGCTGAAGGTGCTTCGGGTGGGTGTTTATTCTGATCTCCTTTCAGCTGCATAACTGTGGTAGTAAGGATGGCAGCAGAAGACATGCAGGTCACTGCTTTAAAAACACATGTCCTCACTCTAATACTACCTAAAGCGTCTTCTTATATTTCTTCTCTTATTTGACAAGCTGAGCTTTTCCCTCTTTGTAGTACCACTTAACTGCCTAACTGAATGTTTACTTCTTTGACTTGAGAATCAAGATGTTTGTTTTCCTCCCTAAACAATGGATTGTAGGAAGGTCGTATCTCCTTTACTATTCTCTCCAGGGCAGGGGAAGGGTGTAGCTATACTGGGTTATTTTCAGCTGATCTTGGGGCACTACTGTGAAAGATATGGAACTGATAGAGTAAGCAATACTTTCCTTCCTATTATAAATGTCTACAAGTATTTACTTTTTGAAAGCTGAAAAAAAGCATTGGTACCAACTCCAGTACCATAGGGAGTGTTGGTCATTACTATTCATATCATGCTGAAAACAGGTAAGAATCTGTAAGGAAAAAAAATCCCTAGTTTTCTAGACCATGTCACTGTGAAACTCACTTGTACCTGCCTGAAAATAGAAACTGCTGGCCAGCTCAAACGCTAGGGCCAAACAAAGGGAGCATTTCTTCCCTTTCAGGTTACAAAGTCTGACTTTTCCTTGTGTCTAAACTGACATAGTGCACATAAGAATGCAGTAAGAGCCAGCCATACTAACAGGGCAGATAGAAGAACAGAAAATATAGTCTTCTCAGATGGCTCCTAGGATCTTCTCTCCTTTTGGTAGTACAGGAAAGAAAAAACAACATAAAAGTTTTCCTTTTTTCCCTTTTTGAATGCTAGTGTTTTCATATTTGTCTCTGTAAATATTCGCTGTTAGAAAATAGTCATGCAAACCCACAATCTGATGGTTTTTGTCAAGCCCTCCCTTTCAGAGCTTTAAATAGTTATGGGTCACAAGGCTATCTGCAAGTTCAGTCTTAAAGTTCGAGGTAACCTAACATGGTGTACAAACTGAGAGGTGTTAAGATACCATTATTAAGCTTCTAGGGCTCATCTAACACTCACCTCATAACACAGAAGATACCCAGAAGGGCAAATGCTGAAAACTGGATGGGGGTGGTAAGTAAAGCTTTCGCAGACAGCACTTCTACCACCAACATTTATTTCTGTTAAAGCAGATTATAAATCATCAGTACAAATATATATATAACTTACATTTGCTTGTAAGGCCAAAGTTTAAAAGTAAAGTTAAAATGAGATGGTTTTCACAAGTCACCAGAGGCAGAATCTGGACCAGCTGCAGCCTTAACCACAAGGTTTCACAAATCAGTGGGAAAAAAAAACAAAAACAAAAACCAGAAGTTAAAAACCTCTAAGATCTATTGACAGACAAACATAAAATGGCTTCCCAGGTAGCCCCAGGATGTAGATATGATTACAGTAAGTTGTCACAGTAGTGTTAGAACCAATAGATTAAGACAAAGAAACTGCAGCAATACATGAAAGGAAAAAAACATACTATATATAATATGTAGTTTGATTCCAATAAAAAACAGTAAATTTTCCCCATGGTTTTCAAACCATGACAATACTGTTCGTTCTTTAAAACTACAATATAATGACTTATTGGTTGTGATTGTTGTTGCAATATGCTACTTACAATGAACAGATACAAGAACAAGCTAGAGCCCCTTTTTCCACCCCCCAATATTACTTACAGTAAGAATCAGAGATAAATCAATCTTATGTACAATTTCTTACATCCAACCCCCTTTTTTTTTAAACCTTTGGCAAGATTACTTACAACTCATACAGCTTTTAATATCCAACTATTTAAAATATTCTAAATGCATAAAAATAAAGATTTTGGCTTTACTTTATTCTTTACATATAATATTCACTTTGTTACTCAAAATGGAAGCTCAACTTTTTCCATAAACCTAGCTTTTGCTAAGCAGGTGACAATCTCCCACCCATATCCACCCCCCCCACCCCACCCCATTTTTCCCTGAGGGGGATCATCCAGGACTCACAGGGCATCAGAAGGACACAAGTACAAAACCTGCCTTCCTCTGAGATAAGTGATGTTTCTGCAGAACAGGCTTTGGGACTGGGTGCCTGCCTTTGCTCTGTTTGACTTCCAGCTTTCCAAAGTGAGGCAGGAATGCGGAGTGGGGGTGTCTCCAAGATTCCTTTTAAGAACTGCACATTAAATTCTCTGTATGTTTATATCCTCCCCATAATTGCTCCCTCATTCTGACCCATTTTTGTTTGAAGGGACCTTTGGGATTATCAAAGCAAACTGATCAGAAACAGTTCCCTCTGCTCCCTTTATCCCTCTATCCTAACGTACAATTTATCCGTGCGGCCCCCCCCTGCCCAGGACTGCTTAAAGTTCGATCTCAAATGTCTTCTGTAAATCACTTGAGAAGGGGTTAGTTGGAGAAGGATTGGTGCGCTGCTTTGCCTTGCTCTCTAGTGCTGCCCACTGTGCTTCAAATGGGTCTACCTGCGGCGCAGGTGCGGGAGGCTGCGAGTGCTTGTCCTCCGCAGCCCATTTGCCACCGTCGACGCCGTTGAACGCCGCAGAGCCGTTGTGCTGCGCCGGAGGGCTGAAGAAGGGGCTGGTCGTGGCGCTGTTGCTTTCGTACTGAGGGAACGTCTGCTGTTTGACAAGACTGGGGGACTGATGGGGATGGGCTGCTGGAGTGTGGCTGGCAGTACCAAAGACGTTGGCTACCATCTGGGAAGGCGTGATTCCAACCACAGGTACGCTTGGGGCTGCATAGGTCATCCCGTTTGCTACGGCATAGGGCTGAGGTGGCAGGAACGCCGGCTGCATGGGCGGCACCACGCCTACCGGCACAGGCTGCGGCCCGATGAAGGTGCTGACGGGGAAGGCTGCTGCGGGCTGGGAAGCGGCTGGAGGAGCCTGGAGCAGCGGCTGTGGGGCTGGGGCTGGCTGCTGCTGGGCTCTGACAGTCTTTGAGACCTCTTCCAACCAGCGGTCCGCCTCTGAGGGGGTGCGTCTGTGGTTTCCTTGGAAGAGACTTGGCGAGGCTGCACCTGAGGAGGTGCTGCTCCATTCAGCGCCTGGGAAGGGAAGCACGGGGAAGTCATTGCGATTTCCACACCTCACCCTTCTATCAGTTAGACAGGCTGGAGGAAGTACACGCCAACAGACAGGCCTCCTCCCTCCAGGGCTGAAAAACTGCTACCACCAGGGGAAGCATCTTTATGCATTCACTGTATGGATCTGCTACAGGAAGACATTGGTCAAGAGGGGGTAGAGAAGAGCCTCTTCACTAAAATACAGGTTTGGTTTGGTTTTTTCCTTCAAGGCCAACACCTACGATGTAGGGCATGCAGGAAAGCTGCCTCCTGCATTCATAACTTAGTGGCAGTGATCTAGTTCATAACCACTAACTCCACTAGGTGCAGTTAGCATCACTTTCTGAATGTACAGCTATCAGGCCTATTAGTATACAAAGATGTAAGAAAAAGGTTTTAAGACTCTTGCTCTGTTTCCTAAATTAAGGCTTTACCCTCTAAGGGATAGTAGTGTAATGGTACTGGGAGTTCAAGACAACATTCATTTTTCTCTCTCCCACTGGAGTGTGAGCACTCACTACAATATAAATGAACATTTAAGGCAATACATCTAATCAAATTACTGTATGATATGTAAACTGTACTTACTATGACTCCTCTGTCTCCACTCACTCTTCCCTTACTCTTTTCATATCTAATTCTGGCAGTTAACCTCTCCAACTCTTTTGCAATGTTCAACACAGCATTTTAGCAGCTGAATTCTGGTTTTCCTTCTCCCTACAGTTTCAAATTCTCTTTCCCTCCCACAGGGCCTTGCCAGGTTTCTAAAACAATGAGAAAAGCAACCATGAATGCTAGAGATGGCTCTGCAATTCATGTGTTATTTGGTATTTTGGAGAAGTGGAAACCATTACTGCTCAGTAGTCCTTAGTGAGCCTGATCTAGTTAAACACCACCTAAAGATCAGTTTACTGTTGTTTTTATGGTGGGAACTGTTGGCAGCAGAGCTTAGGGCCTCTCTCTTGTGGGGGAATGGTCTGGTACTCTTCCAATGCCAAGCAGAAGCTACTATTTCACTAGCAGAGTTTCTCTGTTCGAGTTGAGATTACACCAGGAAACAATACTAGTTTGACTGTAGCCTTCTAGCACATGTGCCCATGTGGGTACCAGCCATTTAAAGTACCACCTTACATTGTATATAACTGCAGAGAAGGACTAGTAAGGGACAGAGTAAACTTGCTAAACAGAAGAAATGAGCCTCCACAACCTTTAAGCAATCAATCTTCCATACATTAGTGGAAAGAACACACAAAAGTTATTTTGGGTACTCACAGATTCTTTCCCCTTCATCCCCAAACATACACTATTTCATTACTTCCTTTTTAAGGACTGGATTTTTCTAAAATGCTGCCAAAATAAGAATCAGTCTAGCTTATAGACCCAGAACCAGTGAGTTCATCGCTTCCCTCCATCCACTCTTGCAAAAGGCTACTACTTCCAGCTTTTGTTCCTGTTCCTTCCACTTGCCATTAAGTGGCACTGACAGTTGTCTCGTGGGCTCAATCATGCGTTTGATCCAAGTTCTCACAGCAATGCACCGGATCTCCTTCCAGTCTTACCAGCGACCACAGCTGCAGCTCCAGTACTAGCAGCAGGAGCATGAGCCCAAGGATTGGTTTCACGAACTGGCATAGCTGTGGCCACTACAGCAGCCTGGGATGGTTTAGCAGCAAGCACACAGAAGGCAGAGGCAGTGCCATTAACTAAAATGGGAGCAGACAACATCAGTGCAATTAATTCATGCAAGGCATGCACGTGACTGGAATATTAGTGGGCCACGTCATACCTATCAACATACAACAATTTTAGACACTTCCACATGACAGCAGTTTGTGTAATTTAGCCAAACTGGACTGACAGTCAATAAAGCCAGTAAATTCCATTTCACCAAGCCAATGCTTGTTAAAAGAATTGTGGGATGGTGGATTTTTATGTATTTGATGAGACCTTGAGTTCTGATGACTGAAGTTAATATAGAGAAGAGATATGGCTCACCAGAAGTTACTGTATGATTAATTTTAGACTCAAAAGAAGAACAGATTTTACATGCAAAGTAACAATAACTACATTTAACAAGGAGAGGTTCTTTTTTTCACACAACTTGTATAAAAGCACATCGGTGAAATGAAGATTAGAGGCTGCTATGAGTTCTATAGTTGGCATCTCTCCACCACTTATCTAAGTTTGTGTGAAAAGCAGTAATCATGTGGCAGCACAAAATCTCTTCCCTTGTGGGACTTGGTTCCTGTGACACACAGTTGTAAGGTTTTTGCAGTTCAGGAGGCAGAAAGCTAAAACAGTCAATATCTCAAGGCCAGTCCCTTTTAGAGGTAACTATCATGTGGTAGGTACACAAACTTTTTGTTAAAAACAAAACCACAGAAAAACTAAACAGACAAGATGAATAAAGCAGGCTGCATTCCCCCTAAGTATGATAACAGGACTTGCACAAAGAAATTAAGACCATGTGTTACTGGAAAGCAACATTATGTGCATTCAAGCCTCAACCAGCATGACCATGGCATGCAAAGAACTCACAAACCTTGAAAGGCAGGAGACTGTGGTGCGACTACTGTCACTGGTTTTGTCATGGGGGCCGAAGAGAAAGGGTCTTCTGATGGTGTGCTGAAAGCACTGGTGATCTGAGAGCACAGGGCACTAATGCTGTCCGTTTCCCCTTCTACCTCAGGGACTAAAATGTAAATAAAATTCATTAAATTGGAAGCTTAAAGGATACAGAAACAATTTACAAATACCAATGTGAAACTGAAATATAATTAGTTTCCTTATGTCCTAGATGTTCCTGCTACTGATTTGCATGACAGTGTTTTTTAAAAAAAAGAATACTGTTGAAGACCTGACCTGAAGTACAACACCACATTAGTGTATTTTGTGACCAAATCAAGAGGGTAAGGAGAGCAGCGTTCCAGGTTGAGTTGGTTATTACTGCTTCTCTGTGTTAATGCAAGAGGTTGTTCACTTCAGAAAATAAAAGTGATTTCTATAGCTTCAGCAAAGATCTAAATCTTTCAGTATTAAAGTGCTAAACATATCAAGGATTTGGCACTAAGATTTGGCACTCTACAAAATGAACATACTTATGATAGATTTAAGTGTTCCAACAACACACTTCCACAGTAAGTAAGTAGATGCTGAAGTTTAAACGTGCTGACAGCAATGCACAGTGGCAAGTTAAGTCTAGAGTTAGAATGTTGATTGCTCCAGTTCAGTGGTAGCTGAAAATC